GATTCGATTTTTTTTTTATTTGTTTTAGAATTCATGCCTAAAATGGTTCAGTAATATTTCTTTACGTAAATTAAACTTACTTCTTAACTTAAACTTACTTAAATGTCTTTACTTAAATTAAAGTTAGTATAGGGTCTGTTTACTTGACAGCATTTTCAACTAAAAACTGAAAACTTTTAATGCGTTTTGTCCATTCATTTGCACGACAACAGCGTTTTTGAAAACGCAAACTTTTGAAAAATGTGAATATGTGAAAACAGTGACGTGATCCATAAGATGTGTTCAGTCTATAGGGGCGTACTGTTTCTTCACAAAGTGGCCTCGCCAACTACTAGTCTGGCATGCGATGCAGCGTTTCCTGTGAACGGGGAACAGGGATCATTTTGACAACATTGCTGTCTGTACGCAAAAAAGCGATAAAGTTTTGTTCCATCTTCCACGTGGTGCCAACTCACACCAGGAGCATTTCAGAAGCAAAGCAACTGGATTCGCGAGTACACTAGATTTATCTGTCCGGCGTTGTTTTTCTTTTTTGGGGTTCTACCATGGTTAAGCTGGCTATTGGTTATGTTTTGTCAGGTTTAATTGTGTTTATTGTTGTATTGCTGTCCTTCTTTGTTGTTGTTAATACACTTAAAAGTCCATGAACGACAAGGATGAAAGGTTTGTAGCTGTGTTTTAGTCATTTAAAATACATTGTCAATTATCTTGTATTTCACACTCAGTGCCTGTGAGCAGGAGGGGAACACTGGCATTTGGACCCGACGTCCATCAAAAATAGACCAGGAGCCTATCTTTAGCTAAGCAGTGCAGAGAGCCACTCCTGGGATGCTCCTGAAATGCTTTTGAAACGTGCTGTGTCGAGGCTGGTATAAACATAAGCATTCAGATCCGGTGGCCATGTAGTAGCCGTAGTCCTGCGCCGCAGACTTTTGCGGTTTAATAAGGGGTTAGATGTTACCACATGATGCACATTTTTAGCTTACCTGACACATTTTTCCGGTTTTCCCTGTAGGCCTGGCCTCTCTGTCGTCCATTATTTCCTCCCTGTCCTATTCTTTTGCTCTCTCATTTTCACTTACTTTGCTCATCCATCTATCTCTTTTCCCCTCGTCACTATCGTTTGCCTCTTTTGCATTCATGCCTGCTGTTCTCTGAGAAGAGCCCCAGCTTTGATCAATATTTCTTCTTGCTAAGCCTTTTCTCCCTGTTCTTCTAAATGACCTACTTTGTAAACTCCTTCTTAACAGCTCTCTTTAAAATTGTGAAAAAGAGCAGAGGCAACAATGCCCTGCCACTGATCTGATACATATTAGAAGCTAAAGCCCCTGCCTGTGTTTGATAAATAGTAGTTTTAGAGGTCAGGCTTTACTGCACAGAGAGATTTGAGGAAGCTAAATTATTATATTTTCTACAGTAATCTATCTACTTGGCTTATTCATCAACCGTGCTGGTGCTTCAATGAACGTCATGCTCCTTTTGGTAGATTTCACACATTGAAAATCAACTAAATGCCAATGAAAATTAAATGTAGCAAAGCTTAATTGTTTTTTAATAAATCAATGAGGTGTAATTTGACTGATTTTATTCCATGTTTTTTTAATTTTTTTATTTAAGGATCATGGTGAAAAACACTTACACCATCACAAGATGTGCTCTCTGTTCTAATCCGTAGGACAAGGTTTAATGGTAACGCTTTAGATTACAGCCCGGAAAGTACTGCGTGATTAAAGCGATTTTACAGCATAACCTTTGGTAATAACCCTGCATAACTTTTTGAAATAATGGTGAACCAGTACATACTGTAAAATTAAGTCAACCGGTCGTTCAAATGACTGAGGAGAAAGAGGCTTACAAAAAAGGTGAAATTTATGAAAAATAAGACTTTAAAAAAAAAGAAAAACCATGAATACATGTAATATTGCGCCCCATAAATACAATCATGCAAAGAAAAAAGCAGTAAACCACCCCTTTATAGTATAAATATATATTTTTTATTCTTTATTGCCGAAACTTTACATATTGTTCATAAGTACTTTATAGGTACACTATAATTACAGAAAGTTACACTGTAAATTCCATTTAATTACACAGTACATTCCGAGCTGTAATCTAAAGCGTTACCGGTTTAATAATAGCAACATCAAAAAGGTGCTTTCAGCCAAAGGGTGTGTGTGTGTGTTTGATTACACCATGTGAGGAAGGCAGTGCAGTCTGATTACTGGAGTGGGGCAGTGAAGGATGCTGTGGTGCTGCCTCTCTTCTCTCAACTGCACAGCAAGCACAATACTTTGTAGCATCTTTTTCCCCTTTTTTTTGAGGATGTGAAGACGGATTAGCCCTAGGGCATATCTGCTATTTTTGTAGGTGGGGCGTGACTATGTTGCAGACACACACTCATTCTTCTCTCCTCCCATTTCTCCTCTCTCCTCAACCCACAAAATATACTAGGGCCAAAATTGCAGATTGCTGAATTGTGATCATAAGAGACCGTTTAACACCTTTCTGAACCTCTGTTGCATCTGTGTTTTTGACTGTAGAATAGAAAGTGTCAGTAAGGGCTCTTTTACATGAAGAAAATCCTCTTTTTGGCTTGCTGACCTCCTCATGGACATTGAGAGAGATTTTTTTTTTTTTTTTTTTTTTTTTACTTTGCTCTATTGGATGCATGTTTTTAACACATACACGTAAAACCAAAGTATTACAGTTCAATGATGGTCATTCTAATATTAAAAGTGTTTGGAGACACTATGTCACACTTTAAACTTGATGAATTTTGTTGCATTTATTAAAACAGGGTGTCCCATTGTTAAATGAATATAAATAATTTTTTATGATAGCTTTCAATTATTGTGTAATGCTGAATGACGATAATGGCGCTTTCCTACTGCATGGTACGGTACAGTTCGGTTCGGTGCGGCACGCTTTGGCTTCTTTCATAAAAAGATCCCAGTAAACAAAGATTTAATATATAGTCTACTGTCTTTATATTGTTGCTACGTTAATTTGAAAATTAAATGTGAAATTATTACAATATAAAAAAAAATATTGAAAACTTTAATATTTGGTTTTATTATTCACAATTAATTACAGTAAAATATGCGATTAATTAGTAAAAAAAAAATTGATTGACATTATTATCAAGCTTTCTCTCTCTTTCTCATACACACACACACACACACACATCTGCAGTGTGGGATTTTAGTGTCAAAAGTACTTTCATTGGTTTCATTTGAACATTGGAAGGGAAGAATCCCAGAAAAATGTGATGAACGTGAAATGATGCTGTCTGGCACTAGACAAATGGGCTTGAGTTAGTTACCTCTGCATCTCCTGAGTGCTCACTTTCCCTCCCCCTTTACCTTCCCTTAATACTCCTTCTATTCTGGGTAGCAGAGCAGGCCTCAAAGGTGGTGAGTCAGTTGGCGTGAAGGGCACAGGCACAGGGGAGAGGAGGGCTGGAAAGAATTGATTTTCCAGTGGGCCATTTAGATCTGTCTGCTCAACCAGCACTGTGTGAGAGTACACAGAGTGACTCTCGGTATGGGGAAATCTACAGTCTTCATGCCGTCAAATGCTGCTAGCCTGCTAAAATCAAAACTCAACTAAATCCCAAGCAATTCGACTAACCTTCATTCCTGCCTCAACAGGAATCTGAAGGGATTGTACTGTATACCTAGTACAATGAGTAAACACAGAGTTTTCACACCCTTGAAAATGATTGTGAACGATAGGAGAGATTGATGCTGGTTGACTTCATTGGGTTTCATTGAAACGTCTGGCGGGGCAACCTGCTGCTACTGTAACTTGTGGAGAGTTTATTGTCACAGAGTGCGCTGCTATGCCCCTCTCTGGTCTCAATCGCTCCCGTTCTCCGGAGTTCTAGAACTGCAATTCCCATCATCCCCCTCTGCTCTCATTAGGTTCCATCCCTGCCTGGTTTCCCTCATCATTTCCCTCACCACCTGCTAACCATTACCTACAATTTATCTGGACTGCTCCTTCCATTATTCCCTTGCGAAGTCTTGTTTTTCCACGCAGACTTTTCCATACGTTTCCCTAGAGTCTTTCTGTGCTCTGAGTTTCCCTGGACCTTTGATTTTTCCTGGACTCTGAACTCTGTTTATGAACCTTCGCCGCCTGTCTCGACCCCTGCCTGTGTATCACTTCTGTTCCTGGATTGTCTGTCTGGCATACAATGAAGGGACAATCCAGACAGTCCTGACAATCCTGGCATAACTTTCAGTTATGTTTTACAAATGAGTTTGGGGGAGATATTGTTAAAGAATTCTTCATGCAAATTCTTTTAAGGGATATTCTGGTTTCGGTTTGTAAGCTCAATATTTGACAGAATTTGTGACAAATTTATTTTGAATTTTCTTTTAAAAAGCAAACAATTAAACACCACTAAAAGTAAATGTCTTAAAAGATTTAAATGTAAAAATTTGCCGTTTATAATTTTTATAAAAGCATTTAATGTACATTAATTGTGGTCTTTATTAGGTTGACATTGGATATAACTTTACACAAAAAAGGTTAGTAAACTATTGTTTCCATAGAGTATTTTAACATTAACGGATTGGCCTTATTCACTTCCATTGTAATTGCCTCACTGTAACCCAGATTTTTGCTTGGTGGAAAGTGGAAAAATTAGTGAAAATTATATATATATATATATATATATCGAGCTAATAGGTTTTCTAGGTGTAACTAGGCTTTTAGTGGTTAGATCGATTGACTTCAAATGCAGAGTGTGTGTGTTACAGTCGAACTTTTACTTTTCCATTCACCCTTCTCTAAAAACTCTTTGTCTCTCAGCCAATTACTCTCGTGCTTCATTGATCCCCTCAGTGAGACAGTCTGGTGTAAAATGCCCATCCACCCAGAAACAGCCAACCAGATGAGACAAGTACACAGAGCTCTGTGGACACAAACAAGAACATATGGAATATTTCAATGACTCTCTCTCTCTCTCTCTCTCTCTCTCTCTCTGTTTCTAGTGAGAAGAGGAAGCTACAAGTGAACATCCTCAGCCCCATTCACTGCAGTATGAATGGGAGGAAGTGCACTGTCATTGTGGAAACCAAGATCAACCAATCACAGCCAGACTTCACCAAGAGCCGATCAGGATACATTCTCTCAGTGCCAGGCAACTAGAGGGCCCGGGGATCCAAGACGATCCCTTTAACAGGACATTGACAGAAGGGTATCTTTTTTGTGCTAGTCAAAAACTTTTGTGTTGAACCTCAGAAATGAAGCCATACCAAATTTGCCTAAAGACAGGCAAGGCAGAATATTTAATTTAATTAATCCTTAAATTCCAAACTTCAGTTTATATTATTTCCAAGATGACAAGGAGGTAGTGAGATAGACCCTCGAAGATGATTTACTAGACCCGGCTCTGTGTATTTATTAAACATTACACCAAATGATGGGTAATCATAAATGTAATATTTATGAGAAACAGTATCTTGCTTGTGTTTTGAGGTTTTTCCTTGAAAGGAAATATGTTGGTTTTTGATCATTGCTTCATGCGGGATGAAGAACAGCTCTGCTTGAGTCTCGACGTATTGCACAGATCATAAGCAGTCCTGCGGTTGCTGCTGAATTTGATCAGATGTTCTTAAGGGGGATGTGTTGATCATATCCTTAAACTCATCAACTGCTCTTAGAGGAGCTTTAAACTCTCTAATTTAAACCATTCTATTTTTCTGCATATAGCTGATCATTTATAGCACATTGTATACCGATACTGTCATATTTGATATAGCTTATGTAATGTACTGTATGCACTATATATATAGTGCATATAAAATGTAGGTAGGCGGAGAACTGTCATTTATTCACATATATCTTGGAGTAGAATCAGATGGGGCGGCACAGAGCAGGAAGTGATGGTGACTGTTATTTTCAGTTGCAATTTTATTTAATAATAGACCGTGCCACCAATAGTGGTCCCTTTAGTCCTCCACTCACCCTCACTGGTTTATAGAAAAAGTCATTTCTGACTTTTCTGTACTGATAAAGCCATTCAAAATTTTGTTTTTGACTAAACAAAAAAAAAATGTTTACAAAGACTGAATTTAAAGTAGTCGCCATTTTACACAAGCCAAAAATGCATTTGTCACCAAAAAACACTAGATAATGAAAATCCTCCAAACTATTAAGTCATCATTTTTTGAAGAACAGGCAACCAGTTGTTCAGTTAGGTTCTATTTTTAGTAAAAAAAAAAAGGCACAATTGAGTAACACAGCAAACAGCAAGTATTGATATTATGAACTTGCACATTTATGAGTTCAAATAAGAGAGAAAGAGAGCAGTATTGATTCATAGAACAACATCTACCGAGTTCTGAGTGGAAACTCCCAAGATGTCTGACCCAGTTTGAAGTTTTCACAACTGACAAAGAAAGTGCCAAACTGAAAACTGACTGCCATTCTTCATTTTTAAGCAGGTGTTTGCATACATTTGTTTTCCCATAATTGTTTAATTGTTTTGTTCATTGCTAGTAGCTAGAGATCTTTTTTATCAGTTAATTAGGATCGTTTCTCGTGGCCAAAAATATCACTAAGCTTCTATCAGTAGTGTCAGGGATGTTCTACTGCATGTGATGGGATAAAGTGGGGTAAATTGGATTCGTTGGCGAGTTGTGTGTGAGCCACGACTACTGATTCATCCTGGATAGAATATCTATTGCATGTGAACATTGATCACATAATCTCCATTTTGCTTGTCTGCTTTAAAATGCTTTTGCATAAGAAGGAATATTTATGTTTTGTCCATTTTCCTCTTCCTCAGTCCCTGATCACTCTCTTGACTATTAGCCTGGATTGGTAAAGTGTGTCAGTAAAAGCATGAAAACATAGTACTGTCGTACAACTCCGTTTTTTACCTCAATAGTTAAAAGCAAGGATATGAACACAATAAATGGACTAGTTTTTTCTGAAAGTTTAAAAGGTCTATTTCTCTTGAATCACACTCTAAATCTGACAGAAACCTACTGACAATGTCTAAATGATCTTTTACCTTGATAATAGGAGTTATATGATTGTTCATTTGCATACAATCCAGCCCATTTTGTGGATAGAGCAGTCTGCTTTGTTTTGGCAGTGATAGATGACAATAAATGACGGTTTTATAATATATCATTTTTTTTTCTTCTTGTCGTGATCCCCAGTGATTCCAAGTGCCGAATAATTTCAGTTCCCAGTTTTTTTTTATTTTCTATTAGCCTGATCTGATCAAATGATGTGCCTAATTTTTATATTTCTCTTATTTAATTAATATATTTTAAAATGTTGGAATGCTTGGACCAAATCAAAAAGGGAATCCAGTTTATAGTGTTTGTTTAAAAAAAGCTTGTTTTCATATGTATATTAATGCAATAATTAACCATTACTAACTTGCAGAAACGAATATTATTATATGGAAACCAAACAAGTACGCTTTAAAAATGAATTATATTGCATATAAATCTTAGTACTGATTTATGTTTGTTTTTTTAATCAAATTAACGCTGTACCAAATATCTGCTCATGCAAATAAACATGCCCTTGAAGTGTCTACTCTGAGGCTTTTGCTCCATCACACTGATATATTGTCATTTTTTCATTGATTTGCTGCACATGGCTATTAATCCAGGGTGAGCAGCTGTTTGCCGCTGGGATGTTGATGACGACGATTGGACCTGTCAATCTTTTCGCTGTGGGTGTGGCTACCGCACTGACAGCAATGACACTGTTTATTCTCATAGGTGTTTATTTAATTAATAGTTCTTAAGTTCATGATGGACATCTAGCATCTGTATGAATGATCTTTATTACTGTTGTGAATACATAAAAGTCACCATGAAATTAAAATTGACAATCCTTATGTTTATAGAATAATCTTATTTATCCGTACACATCATTCTATTTAAAACTCATGTGCCCTCATAATCTTTGATCAAAATAACTCTTTTCTTATGATGATTCACTGGCTCGAGGGCGGGACAAATTGGCCAATCACAGCAATGGCCAAGTACAAAACTCCAATCACAAAATCAACTCCAGCTCTACATTTTTTCTTGTTTGCAAAGCCATTTCAAACCCTGTTTACACCTGTATTTAGAGTACGTTTACATGACAATGATTTGCTAAAAACTGAAAAAGAAACTTTTCTTTGTACAGATGACAACGTTATCAAAATGATCCCCGTTCACACGGATCTATGAAAATGACTAATAAAGCTGTTTTATGAATGCCAGAATGCAAGTATTTGATGATGTCACTTTGTAAAGAAAAACTATGTGCCCACTTACATGCGCATACTTTTACTACAGTATTACTTTATCCTCTGGGTAATTTCCTCTTCCCAAAGCCCGAGCAAAGTCATTCACAGTAATCCTAATTTTAGAATGTTCTCCTCTGATATAAAGTCCTTTTTTACTTCCTTTAAGAAAATGTCAAATCCTTTAAACACAAAGGCTTCGAAAAACATATCCTTGCATCTGTTGTGAGGAACTTTTAATATTTCATGATGACAAAATGTTATATTGTGTTTATTTGTGCAATGTCATGAGGTCCGTATTTTTCCACATTCCACAGGCCACAATCAACAACCTTTTTTTCCCCCCAATACAGTAAAACTGCACAATATAGAGTGGTCTTTTATTGTGGCCAGCCTAAGGCACACCTGTGCAATAATCATGCTGTGTAGTCAGCATCTTGATATAACTAACACAGATTTAGATAGATTTGTGAACAACAATTGAGAGACATTTTTTAGAAAAAGTCTTAAATCTTTCAGTTCAGCTCATGAAAAATGGGGGCAAAAACAAGTGTTGCGTTTATAATTTTGTTTTTATCTTGATGGGCAAAACATGTAAATATCAGAAACTTTTGTTGATCACAGAGCTTGTTTTTTTTATGATAATCCTAAAGCCTACGGGAAAATTCTATTGGGTTTTTGTCGAGGGAACCAGTGTGATGCTACCGGTTTGCCTACAAAGTGACATCATACCTGCACCACTCTATAGGGAAGAAACGGCTATTATTCTAATGCATCGCTTCGTCCTAAACAGATCTCTTTGGAAAGGCCAAATCAATCTGGTGAACTTGGATGTTTTGAATCTCTACATTTTTATATATTGGGGAACCCCCTAATTGAGGTTGTTCTTTAATTCAAAAACCCACATAATATAATTATAAATAATGGTAAATATGGTGATATAAATGCATAACCTATTCCTGAATATGTGCTCAAACTATATAGTCTAAAAAGTAGCACTTTAATCAACATTGTTTATGATTATATTGCTATATACTGTAGTTAAAATTGCACTTATGACTCTGCTGTTAAGCTAGTTTTTAAAAAAATTAAAATCATTTAAAAAAAAAAAAAGTGGTAGCCATTATAGTAGGGAAATGTTCTTTTTTTCAAGAAGCTATGAGTATTCTAACTAAATTGATCTATGATAACGTGAGACCACATAATTGAAAAAAAAAGGATGTTTTCATGTCGCTAAGCTGCAGTAACAACCTATGTGACTAGGTACAATTTGGAGTCCTGCTAAGAATTACAGGTTTGTTTTTGTTTTTTTGTGATGTCAACTGAAACCTACCTTCCTCAAACAACCACACCGTGGTCTATCTTTAACGATCAGTGCATTTTATTTTTCATCACAGTACAAAAATAAATAAAAATAAGCAGAAACAAAATGCAAAGATTTACAGCGACAGATTTTCGTCTTTTTTAAAAAGAACAAAACCCCTCCCTCCCACCCGCCTGTCAAACTCTAGCCAGATACCATAGAGTCCTACCCTCTAATAAGCACGGCCATGCTCTGATCCTAGAAAACCAGCATACACACGTCACATTCTTCGATACAAACACATTCACTCGCACGCTCATGCAATCCTTTTTTGGAACACTGTCCTCAGTTCTACAAAGAATTACACAACAGATACAGAGAGAGTTTGACAGGAGTTTTTACTTCTCTTTTTTAAGTGTTTTACTTGGTTTCAAAGGACTACTCTGTGATGCAAGTGAAAAAAATGGCACATTTGTTGTGGGCTGGGGGCAAATAATAGCAGGCAAGCGGTGAAACAGGGCTCACCTACTTCAACCCCCACAACCTCAAACCCCTGCAGTCTCCTCAGACAAATAGCTCACAGAAAAGTGCAAGTCCCGTATCCAAACCTCTCCTGGCACGTAAAGTCACATAAAGCAATGCAGCAGGGCGAGCAGTCGCACAGAATCCATCCAGATCATGAGAAGAACAGGCTTTTGCATGAATTAACAGAGACATAATAATGTTTGCTTATATGACTGTCACAATCTTTTTTTTTTTTTTTTTGACAATAAAGTAAGAGATACATAACTACCGAAAGTAAGCATGCACAATTTAGCACTGCTGAGATGTTTTAAAGTGGGCAAATAGATCATACTACACACAATCCACCGATCAATATCCAATGTCCAGTTTGATTGATGTCATCAATATGCCTGCAAATGTTTGTAATATTGTTGGTACTTTAATCTGAATCTGAAATATGCTGCTTATCTCCAGAAATAGACCACATCTCATCCAATTTAATGCCCGGAGTTTGATGCCGTCTGCGTTTGGCACACTGTGTTGTCATGGGATAATCACTCATGATTGCTTTTGCAGTGCTGATATGTAGAACATCCCAACAGTACTTCACAGAGAAATTGGTTTCAGGTAGATAACCTCGATTGAAACCGATCGTCTGTCACTAAGATGAATTACCTTGGTGTTTCTCAGATTTGAAAATGGTTTTAAACTAAGCTCTTATAAGACGTTATCGCCATGAATAATGCATTCGAATGCAAATGTGCATTAGCCGTAATCTTCATTCTCACCAAAAGGTAGCCATCAAACTAATTTCTAGCTTTTGTTTTTTACAACACGTCACTAAAATCTCTAAATGCAAGAGAGAAATGTGTGAAAATAATTAATAAATAACAATAAATTACGATTCCGATAGATACTTGTTGTTGTTAATGACAATCCTACTGTTCCAAACTTTGCCGCCTTTGGTATGTGTTTTTAGACCTACATGATTTCCATCAAAGGTATGGCACTGTTTTTTTTTTGTTTTTTTTTGATACATTTACAGGCTTTTCTGTACAGAAACCCCCTGCTGAACCTAGTCTGAGTATAAAACAAAATGACAAAACAATGGCTCATTGAAGCAGGCATAGCAAGATAAACTATTTGTTTGTTTTTTTGTTTGTTTTTTTCAGATTTCATTCCCTAAACACATATACAGTTGCTTAAGAAACTCAAAGTACTTAACTTCATCCAGGTTGTTTGTGCATTCAGATGAATACAGTTGTTTTAGAAAATGAAAAAGCTTCAGAGACGTAAACCACAGGAGAGGTCTGTTTAACTCTGTATCATGGATGAAAATAAAGTAGGTCTTTCTTACAAATGTGCTGACAACCTCTCTTCGCCTTCTCTATCAACAACAGCCACTGTGCAATGCTGGCCTCAAAGTCATTTCCCTTTATTCTTTGTTTGTGGCTTGCGGACATTATGACGCTCTTCCCTTTTTGCAATTGGCTGTAACAGAGAATTTGCAACAGCAATGTGTTTATCATTCAGTGTGTGTTCGGTTTCATGGACATAGGAGTGAATCGACCTCCAGCTCTATTGACGGTGGTGGCAAAGATCTTGGTGCAAAGTGTCCAGTAGTCAGCTAGACAACAGCTGGAGTCCTGTCCACATTCATGGTTGTGTTGTTCTTTTTATCCCGTTGTGTCTTTTGAAGTCTTTTCGGCCAGTGCTTTTAAATATTCACTACTTTAGAGCGTTTGGTCCACTCAAGTCTGGCATTTTTTTTTAGTATTCAGGTCCAAAATTACCCAATTGCCATTTCTAAAGGTAATGAAAGAATCACTACTCCTTTTAAAAAACATTAGCATTATACTCATTGCTCACTTATCCTTATTAATTAATCATTAATAATAACTTATCCCATTAATTAATCATCCCATGTAGGGATAGTTCCCCCCAAAAAATGAAAATTCTGTCATTTACTCAACCTCTTTCTTCTGTAAAACACAAAAGAAGATATTTTTTTAAGAACAGTTTTCGTCCACATCACTCTTAAAAATAAAGGTTCTTTATTGGGAAGGATGGTTCCTTGAAAAACCTACGTAACACTTTATTTTGATGGTCCCTTTTAAACATTCAGTTGGCTATAAGTAACTTTGCAACTACATGTCAACTAACTCTCATTAGAGTACGTTTAGACTGTCTGCTTAATATCTGCTAACTATTTATTATGATGGTTAATAGACATGTACAGTAGGTGCAACGTTACTTATAGTCAGCAGAATGTGTTAAAGGGACCATCAAAATAATGTGAGAATAATGTGTAATTGTTCTTATCATTCGTCTATGGCATTGCTGTGAAAACCCCCATTAGAACCTTTATTTTTAAAAGTGTACAGTGAAAGTCAATGGGGTCCAAAACAACCCTATTGGACCCCATTGACTCAAGTTTTTTCAAAATATCTTCTTTTGTGTTGCACAGGTAAAAAAAAGAAAGTCAGACAGGTTTGATGACATGAGGGTGAGTAAATTTCTCTGAATTTTCATTTTAGGGGGAACTATCATTTTTTTTTCTTTCAAAATGCCAGACAAGAGTTCCACCAAAGACATCTCCATAGCCTCCTCACCGGTCCAGACCGATGAGCAGACGACTCCTTTCCTCCTCCTTCTGGCTTTCGTTTTTGAGGTCTGCAAAGACCTGGGTGAAATAGTGAGGATCCGAGTTGATCTGCAGCATCTTGGCGCTCATCAAGTTGATGATGGACAGACAGCGGTCCCAGAATGTCTCCTTGGAGGTTTCCACCAGGAATGGCTTGAGAGGGTATGAGATCTCATTGCCCATGTAAGAGTAAGACAGGTAGAGGCAGGTCAGCAGCACGGCCTGCAGCTCGTGCTCCGTGGCCACCTCAGAGGAGACCACGTCGCGGCAGAGCATGTAGACGAAAACCACGTTGGCGGGGGTGATGAAGCCCTGGTCCTGCCAGCCCTGCAGCAGCAGAGAACGGTCCACGCTGCGGAGCCACAGCACGGGGTCGGTGGGAGAAAGGTGCTTGAGCCGATAGCACCTCCGGCAGAGGAACTCCCCCAGGCAGCGGAGTAGCTCGCTGGTGGAGGCTTGGACAATCACCCTCTTGGGTGTCCCAGGAACAATATTGGAGTTGGAAAGAGGCGCCTTCTTGACAGAGGAAGCTGTGTTATTGGAGTTTTTGGAGCCTTGGTTTGATGGACTCGACTGGTCCTGCGTAAAGGACGAGAGATTTGCACAAGACTGTGACTTTTTGAGGTTCTCATTGTTGAGGTGAGAAACATTGTTCTGGTAGTTGGTGTTTGGCTGCACTTTCTTAGACCCCTTTTTCTTGGCTGAGACGGCTACTATTCGTTTCCACGGAAGTACGTTGATGAACGGGTGCCGTTTTAGGTTCTTGTCTTTGGCGTTCTTGCTGTTCTGAACCGCTGTGTAGTGGCCCACGGTGGACGGGCCATCCTCGAACAGGGCAGCCTTCCGGTAGCTGGGTGAAAGCGATAGCACGGTTCCCATGATTCCGGGCTCGGGTTATTTGAATCTCAAGGTTAGGGGTCAGCTAAAGAAAGTGCCAAACTGGAGCCCCACTGCTTCCTGAGACTAGTTAAATCTGTAAGACATCCAAATTTAGGTTGGTGTTCTATTTAAAGAAGAATGATGTCGAGATGGATGAGGACTCTGTCACTGCAAAGCCTGTAAGACAATAAAAAAAAAAATATATATAAATACATATTGAATTGGTGCTTTCCTGGAACATTTCTGATGGGAATAGTATAAGTGTGTATTTTGATTCTAGCATTTTAGCATCACAGACTTTTTATATTGCAGCATGCATGTTGTAGACCTATGCAGTATATTGTTGCAAAATAGGCTCTCTTCAGATTAAAAGATGCATTTTTAATATGATAAGAGTACATTTTATCTTATTGACCTATTTTTTTTTGCTTATATTTCCTGTATTCATGATGTTGAATGTCATCTTTAACTGTTCATCTACAAATACTCTACCTGTAGTGTCCTAACAGGAGTGATGCTGCATGTTGACTTGGGAATTGGGCCTTTGTGTTTCCATTAAAATAATCTTAAATGATTAATGTTAAGATGATTGGACAATGGGTTTTCTCAAGTGGGAAAATAATTATCTTAGGTCAAAATGTCCATATTATTGTTGTTGTATATTCTGAACATGTGAACACAATTCCCTGATTTATTTGTGGTTTTAAATTTGGCCACAACTGTAGCTTACTGTTTTCTTTATGTCGACAACAGGCCTCATAAAAGCATTGTGTCGTAGATTCAAGTAAATGCATGAATTCTTTATAGGCACTCAACATGCACACAATAACATTCAAATCCCTCGAATTCAACTGTTCATTTGGCTATAAAATAAAACAATTGATTTATGAAGCTCTGTCGCACTTAAAACAACCCACGACGTACATATAGACTGCATTTTACACAGTAAACTCAAACCCGCCAATGAACATAAATAAAGACATCGCCATTTGGCAGAGTCCAGTGTTTACGGCTCTCTTGTAAATACTGTACATCACCGTTCGTAAATCTGAATTTGATGGGACCTGTAGTGTAACAGCCTACCTCATTCTCGTTCAAAACATGTTTGTAGATTATTTAACAAACGAAAAAGAAAAAAACAACAACTTTCCTTTCGCCACTATAATGAATTTGTGCTTTGCTGAAATATGCCAGCCACTGTCCAAGGTTCTGAAAATGTTAGATCCTCCCTACGATGTTTACATGAGCACGAGAGATAAAAAAGACTGATTTTCATCATCACGTCAATGCAATTATAAGAAAGAAAGATCTACAAAATAAATGTTTACCAAACCAGCCAACAATTTCTCGATAAAAACAGCAAAACCTTGAAAATATGACCAACAATCAACCAAATATATCATCTATGATTACAGAAGCTTCGATGAAATGCAGCTCACTTACAGGAATCTGCTCTCCTCCACGATGCTTTGGCAAAACAAGAGCCGCAGTAATAGCTGTCTGGGTTTATCCTTGATAAACTGCGCATCAAGGAGATGCAGAATCGGCCACACCAAGTAAAAGATTTAATTTCAAGATTGTCAGGACGCCTAAATTCCAAAAATTAATAAGCTTTTAATCAAACAAAACAATCTTCGCGTCTTGTCGGAGGTCTCTGTAGGCGCTCCAGAGGTCTGGGGATGCTGGATGTCTCCTTTGGTTTGTGATGCTGAGAACTGTGAAGCTGTGCTATTGGTCCACACCAGGCAGATACGGGATTTAGGTTGATGTTGTGCTGTGAGAGCCGCGCGCACTGCGTCCTACTATTAGAAAGCTTGTGCTTGAGCGCCTCATTGTGGCCTGTTTCTCCACTGCCCCGCCTTCGTGCACCTTGCAATCACGACAAATTTCGACCTCATTTTAAAGTTAAATAATAATAATAATAATAAATAAAACAAACCACAGAATAAATAGAAAATGAATAGGCTATTTAGTTATAGTTATTTAGCATCCAAATCCATTAATGAGTTAGGCATATAGGACCTAAAATGTATAGCCTAGCTTATATCCTATAACTAAATAAACATAGGCCTTTTTTAAAAATAATATTTATTTAGATGTAGTGTATAGCCTACTTGTACACGTTTAAATATTATTTAAGTAGCCTATGGTCTCTTATAATATTTTTGCTCAGGAGGACTGACGCACCTCACCAATGTTATAAATACAATTGGGAGTTCACAAGTTTGGGGCGTGAGGAACGTGTCGGAATAAGATAGCACTTCTCCAAGATGTCTGTTAAAGATGGTTCATCTGCAAATCACCTGCATGTGTAGAAGACATCTGTAGCCCTCAAACCGTATTCACTTTATACCTAGCCCTTAATCCTGTAATTGTGGACAAATGTGGGCACCGAGGACTCAGGTGTGATGCTAATTTTTATTTATTATAAATGTTATCGCTGTTTTTTTTTTTTTTAATTATTTTAGGGCTATTTTTTGAATTTAGTTACTTCAAAAAGTACCATATTTTCTATGTAAATTATGCTTATTTTTATGTTTTGTTTTATTTATTTATTTTTTTAATTAGGCCCTACATTAAAATATCATTCCAATAAGTTCTTAGAGCTAAAACCTAAAGATGAAGTGACTTTGTTGTCGCCTGGTGTTTTATTTTGCTCTAAATTACAGTTTTTCCCATTCGTTTCTATGGGTGCCCATTTTTTACCCAAATACAAGATTAAGGAGTTTTTTTCCACCCACTTAACATTGTAGAATTGAGTCAAAAAAACAAAAAACAAAAACAAAAAATGGTGTGTGTTCAGGTCAGGAGGCAAAAGTAGCCAAGTCTTGTACCGCTCAGATCAAGGGAAGTATTCTTTTTTTTTTTTTTAAATAAATCAAAATTACCTACTTTGCCCACATTTGTCCAGAATTCGGTTTTAGGGTTAAAAAGTCGGTATTACATGGGCTACATTCTAAATCATAAACATCTTAAAGACATTTTCTAATTGTTTATTTAACACCTGACAGGAAATGTCTTTAGAGACGTAGCAGATGAGCAAAAACTGAAAATAGCTAAGATAAGAATAGATATTTAGCATTATATAGCTTTTTTATTTACAACAAAATGTCACTTGAATGCATTTGATGACTTTCGAATCCCTAACTCATAAGTACAAACATCCCAGCTGGACTTAACCCCAACTTTTCAAATAATTGATAGAGGCCTATAGTTTAGGCAGACGGTTTGCTATTCCCTTCTGGATTTAATTACTATATTTTTTTATAGACCATGTATGTTTATTTTACCATAAAAGTCACCATCACACAGATTATGAACTTTTTATTATTATTATTATTTTTTTTTTTTAAATTCAAAATAGCCATAAATCTCTATATAAAATCTTGATGGGATGTTTCATTCTGCAAGAGGAATTTTCAGGATGGTCGATGGCATGGAAGGACTGTAGGAGCAGAGACATGGCTCTATAGGGTCTGTCTCCGACTGACCAAACAACAACAACAAAAGCAAATTCTATTTGCAGTATGGTAGCCTACTAAATCAAATCATGATTTGAATAATAGCCTAATAATACAATAATTTACAATAATTATGATTAAATTATGATAATTTACAATAATTATGATTAACATTTGAAATCATTATAATTAAAAATAAGTCAATTTAATCATACAGCAGTTGCTTTTATTTATAGCAACTTATTAGACTGTAAAAAAAAAAGAAAAAAAAAAGAACCCAACCTACCACCCCACGCCCGCACGCACGCACGCACGCACGTACGTACGGTACGTACCAACGCACTTCCGGGTGAGTTCGCAAGTGCTTGTGGGCAGTGAGATTTTTGAATAGGGAAGATGGCAGCCGCGGCAGTAGTGGAGTTTCAGAGAGCTCAGTCTCTCATTAGCACAGACAGAAACGCTTCTATTGACATTTTTCATTCAATAGGTAAGGTTGTGTTTAAATTATTGTATAAAACTTTTCTTTTCACTCTGCATACTGTAATGTTTCAGTATTTGGAAGCTAAGGTACCACGAGCCGGTGCTGCGGTGCTGACTCACTGTACTGTGTGTGCGCGCGTCTCAAAACACTGTAAGCTGCCTCCATAGGCAGCATTTTTAGACCTTATGGCGGCATTCGAACTTACGAATCGAGCATAGAACAAAGACAGCTTTTTATGGTTTCATGTGCGTGCTCAGACATATGATTCGAATGTTCGAACGCGCCCCCGGTTCCCTAAAAGAACTGTCTATGTAGGCAGCTAGCTACGTTTTGAGACACAGTCCGATGTGTATGGACAGTTAGCTGCACTATTAGCCACCCTTCCAGGCCAAGGCGCATTTTAACACATCTAGGATTTATCTTAATTTTGTATTAATAAAAAGCTCAACCGATGACATTTTATTTTGAGATTCAGTATTTTTGACAGTCTTAACTTGATCAACTTGACGTGCTTCATACCAACCATAAGACAATCTTTGACATTTGTTTTTGCTTTCGTAACTTTGACTGAAATTCCTTTCTTTCTTTTTTTGGCTGCTGAAATCCCAAATTTATTATATCTGTTCACGTCATTACACGCATTCTTACTTAAGCAGTTTGGTAGAGTAAAATAAACCTTTACTAATGAAAACTTGCCGATTATTTGCACTCTCTGTTTGTCTTTTTCGACTCCAAGACACAAGTCTCTTTCGTTTCAACTTTTTTTTTTTCCATGGCTCACATGACAAGTTGGTTTTAAATGAGTTACCTAAGATCATTATATGTAATTAATTACAAGGCGCCTTAAAAAAAGATTATTTAAAAAAAATAAAGCTTTTGAAGTATTTTTTCAGACCCACCTTAATTCGCAGAGACAACTATAACTAGTCATTTGTAGCTTTATTTTGCTGGTAAAGTGTAAATAATATGGCCTCATAAAAACATTACTGTTATTTTTTTACTTTTATTTTTTAAACAGCTTTTCCTTTATTTGTACACATCGAGGAGGGAAAAAAGAAAATAATATAAATAATCAAATAAAACAATTTACAACAAGAACACAACCATTAATGATAACTGTTACATGAGGTCTTACAAGGAGTCAGCAACTAGGCGTATGTGATACAAGTAGAAATTGTGGTGAAACATAACTGTTATTTTGAGCACCTTGACAAGCCCAAACATGTCAACATTAACTCAACCAATGACATGCGGTCACAGGTGGGGTTATCTTTTTTACCGACCAATGGCTGATGGTGGGTTGCATTGATTAACAAAAAGTTTTCAGTCAACACATTTGATGTCAAAGACTAATATATATAGATATGTGTGTGTGTGTGTGTGTTTATACAGCTGTTTCTGACATCAAATTTGCTAACTAAAAAAAATAAATAAATGTAAATGTTATATTTTGATGTATTTGTAACTTTAATTCTAACTGCGGCTTATGTACAAAACCCATAGGCCAATTACTTTTTGTTGATGGGAGGCTTAAGCCTAGGGGTGGGACGGTATGAAAATTGCATATCAAGATTATAGTGTCCAAAATTATCGTGATTGTCATTTTCAATATTATCACGGTTTTGTAAAAAGTGTACAATGAATCTATCTATACATTACTATCCCTTAAAGAATGTCACTCTTAGTAGTCTTGTTTGAAGTTGTCTGTTCGTCTTTGGGTCAAAGCCACTTGCTGCGAACTTTTCTTTGCGGAAGCTTCACGTCTATTTCAAGTGAGTGACAAAATATTTCAACTCAAAACAACATTTTGTGCCCAGTTATTTCCCAGATGTAGTTTTGGTATTGACAGAGCCGACCCGAGCCTTTTAGGGGCCCTAAGCAGAATTTGATTAGAGGGCCCCTCCTACTACGTGGCGTCACCTGTGCTTGATGATTATTGACACAAATATCACGCATTAATGATGCATTATAAATTAATACATTGAGGTTATATATAAACACAAAATAAATACTTAATTAAAAATAGATAGCCTACTTATTCTTTTACTAACTCTTTGACTCTTAAAACAAACTCTCAAAACATCAAATAAATTATTTGCTAAAATAAAGACAACTGAAGTAAAAAAAATAATAAGAGCAAGGGTTCAACAATGACAATTATTATTGAAAACTGTAAAAATATTATTATTTTCACAAAATCTCCACAAAATTATTATAATTATTGTAACAGACTTTGTTGGATTGTACATCAAGGATCCAACAAAGTCTGTTACCATAATACTGGTAATGATGCACTGGCAGACACCGCAGCAGATGTTGGGAGGTATATTGATCATGAAATCAGAATTTTCTTGTCTTTAATTATTCATTCATTCATATTAATTAATTAATTTGTCACTCGAGTAATCAAAAAAATATTTATCGATTTTTCGACTCTATGGTTAGTTCGCTAATGCCTCGGGCCGACCCTGGTTATTGAGGTCAAAGTTAACGTGCCTTATGTTCGCTATACAAGAGTGGGTGATGGTCACATAAGACGACTCAAAAGATTTGTAGTGTTTCTATTGCACTGCAGTGACTTTTTGTTTGACAGAGTGACCATTCTCGATCAAGTTTCCCTCAGGACTTTTGTAAAACCCAAAATATGACCACCCCTCAGATTTGGTCCTCTTAAAACAAGGCTAAAAAATAATCTCCCGAGTATGGTCACTGCCTTCTGCCATTCCTTCTCTAATAATAATAATAATAAAAAAAAAACATTGCGTGCTGCATCAGACTGTGACTGTCAGACAAGCGC